CGAAAGTGAGTACTGGTCCTGCGCCGGTGCGGGGAGAAGGGGGCTGCCTGGCACGGGGTGGGGGTTGCATCGCCCCTCCGCCACGGGGGGGTTGTGCTGCCGGGGCTAGCCTGTGCACCGCTCTCTGTCCCTTCCTGTAGCTCCTGTGTGCTCACGGGTGCCCTTCTTGCCTCCTGCCAGCCAGCACCGGAACCTCAACGGCTCGCTGGGGGACCGCGGGGGTCACCGTGCCACCAGGAGCAGATGCGCAAAGACCCCTATGCCAACCTCATGCTGCAGCGGGAAAAGGACTGGGTTTCCAAGATCCAGATGATGCAGCTGCAGAGCACTGATCCCTACCTGGATGACTATTACTACCAGGTACCGGGGAAGGGGAAGCACCAAGCCCGCTCCGCTGCGCATCCTGTGCCCGTAGCTTCTGGCAGGACAACACCTTAACACTCCCACGGGACCAGTGTCTTCCCGGCAGAGGCTCTGTGCCGAGGGGCGTTGGGTGGGAAGCGGATGCCAGTGCCGAAAGCGATGCAGCGGAGGAAGTGTTTTTGGGGAAATGCACTGGAGGAGGAAGGCAGAGGGATGGGGTGGGGCGAGGATCCCCGGCAAGGGAAGGGAAGGGAGGCAGCAGCAAGGGAAGAGTTGCCACCCTGTTCTTGGGTGAGATCTTCAGGGGTGAGGAGACGTTGCAGGGATGCTGCATCATGGATTTGGAGGGTGCTCCTCTGTGTCAGAAGCTGCGTGTGAATAAAACAGAATAAAACACCCGGAATGGGAGATGGGGAAGCTGCTAAATGGAAAATGCAGGAGAATGCCCTGGGCAGGGAATGGCTGCGTAAGGAGGACTCCAGTCTGACAGGGGGTGGTGGTGAAGCCTGTGGAGTGCAAAGAGCGAGGTGGAGAAGGTGGATGGGGAGAGACCGCTCCTGCTCTTTCCCAGTTCAAGAACAGGGAGCACCAGACGGGGCTGGGAGGTGCCAGATTTGGAGCAGACGAAGCACGGTGACGGCTGGATTCTTGCCGACGGTGGTAGATAATCAAAGCTCGGCTGGGTTTGAGGGTTCACAGCACAATTTCACGCGAGGGAAATCTACGGAGGGCTTCAAGCCACGTAGGGTGGACGCCTGGCTTGGGAGATTGAATGGGGCTTGCGGGGTGGCTGGGAGTCTATCTGGGGCAGTCGTCAGCTGTGCGGGAGGTTTGGCCCCTGTCTTCGCAAAGGGGGTGCAGAGGAGCCAGCCACGCACCCAGAAAGGTCCCGGAGGAGTCGGTGCAGCTGTGAGCCTGGGACAGAGCGGGGAGGGCAGTCACCAGCGTGGCTTCGGTGTGGTGAAATGGGTCAGAGTGGTCTGGTTCCCTCCACGGTGGGCCAGGGGCCCAGTGGGAGCCGGGCCGAGCACTCACTGTGGGTTGTCTGGGCTCCAGTGGGAGCTGGCAGGAGAGAGCTGGGGCCGGTGGGTCCGTCTGCTCCGGGCGGGCGGGAGGAATCGCACTGACAGAGGTTTTCCGGGAGCTGTGGGTGAGCTAATCCCCAGTAGAGGAGAGGAACTAGTGCGGCCGCAGCCGGGACGTGAGTCAACAAAGCTCTGCCGTTGCGAAAGAGGCGAACATTGGCCGGGGTGGATGGGAAAAGCGCGTGAGCACCGGTGTGGGAGGCTCCAGCCACATGCTGCCCAGCCTGGGCATGGTGCTAACAGAGCAAGGCAGGCTAACTGGAGTATGCTGGGAAGGACTGGGAGCTGGGGACCTCACAGGGAGAGCGGACTTGTCATTGTATTGAGAAAGAGAGGGCTGAGAAGGAACCTTGACCTCTGTAATCTCGAGGGATGATAGAGAGGAGGATGCAATCGTCCGCTTGTGTACTGGGGGAAGAACAGTGGTTTAAAATGCTGATGTTGGGAAGACCAGTAAGTGGTGGGTGAGGGAGGGAGCACAGGCCGGGGAGAGGGACGTGTTGCATCAGTCCTTGCCAACTGGGGGTCTTAACCTCTCCTCTCCCTGCCTCAGAATTACTTCCAGAAGCTGGAGAAGTTGTCAGCAGCGGAGGAAGTCCACGGTGATGGTCCCAAGAAGGAACGCACTAAACTCATCACACCTCAGGTGGCTAAGCTGGAGCACACCTACAAGCCAGGTAAGCGCTCCTGTCTCCACACAGCCCAGACCTCTGCGGGTGAAGGGTGGTGCTGGTTCATTCTGGGCTGGGACAGGGGGGTCTCACCGGTGCCAGCTGGAGTTTGGAGGTAGCCACGGGGCTACTTTGGGGCCAGAGAGAAAGGCGGGAGAGGTGGGGTCAGGCCCAGACTGACTCCCTTTGCTTCCCTTCTCCCCCCTTCCTGCAGTGCAGTTTGAGGGCTCGCTGGGGAAGCTCACGGTCTCCAGCGTGAACAACCCTCGAAAGATGATCGACGCGGTGGTGACCTCCCGCAGCGAGGATGATGTGAGTTCTGACCCTGCCTCCTCTCCGAGACAGCTCCGTG